TGCAGGGGTTTTAAGGAAACTTCACCTCAAAATCTTGAAAGCAAAAAATTCATGTCACATGTATATGTTAAGCCACAGCAGGGTCCAAACTGCAGGAATGATAGCCCCTGCTGAGACCATGAAGCCTGCTAGCTGTCAAGGAGATTGGTGCAAGGGGAGTCTGGGTTCTGGGGCTCTGCACCTCTAGCTGCTGACAGGCAAAACTGGAACACACAGCTCAGTAAGTGACACCAAGGCAGAAAGCAGGGCAGTGCAAGCACTGCTGCCTTTTATGCAGTTTGTCCATCCCTCCCCCAGAGCACTGGGATTGGAAGAGACCTCAGGGAAGGATGACAGTCACTGGCCAGCTACACAGTCAATAATGAGAGCTAGGGCTGTGTGAAATTTCGCTGGCCATTTTGTTTTGACACTGTTTCGACTCATTTCAAGCTCAAAACAATGAAATCAAAATGAAATGAAGGGCTTTGAAATAGCCTCAAAATAAAACGAGGCTAGTTGAAACATTTCAAAACTTTCAAAATGCTTTGAAGCAGCCAGCAGCTAGGTGGTAGGAGACAGGGGAGAACCAGGGCTGTGCTCCCAGCGGCTCCAGGCTCCGCCAGGGGGGAAGCACAGTCCTGATTCTCCCCGCCTCCTGTGGCTGGGGTGGGAAGCTGATCACAGCACAGGGGAAGGGAACTGAGCCCTGGCTCAGTTCCCCTCCCCAGCGCTGCAATTGGGCTGGAGAAAGGAACTGAGCCAGATCACTCAGTTTCCCTCCCCAGCCCTACATTCGGGCAGGGAAGGCAACTCAGCCCAGTTGGGCTGAATTTCCAACCCCAGCATGACCATCACGCTGGGGAAATGAACTCAGCCCAGCTGAACTTCAGCCAAGTTCAGCCTAGTTGAAACGAACTCAGCCGGACAGCTGGGCTGAGTTCATTTCCCCAGCACGATGGTTGCACTGGGGTTGGGAACTCAGCCCAGCTGGGCTGATTTCCCATCCCCAGCCCGATCTAGCACTGAGGAGGGGAACTGAGATATCAGGCTCAGTTCCCTTCCCCAGTCCCAGGCAGCAGCACCAGCTTCTCTCCCTCACCTGGCAGGCAGATCAGGGGCCCTCAGCCCCAGGAGGACTGACACAGCCCCGGCAGCCCTCCTGGGGTTGGGCCCCGATCTGCCTGCCAGATGAGAGAAGCTGTTTCGAGCTTCCCCATTGTAGCAAATGGGAACAGCATCGAAACAGCATCGAAACAGCCTCACTGTTTCAACGATGTCAAACAGAACAGCTGTTTCAACTCAAAATGAAATTCAAAACAAAATGCTGTTCCATTGAACCCTCGAAACTCTAGTCGAAACAGAACAGAGCAGTTTTGCACAGCCCTACTGAGAGCACTCCTTCCCCCTCCCTCTCCTTACTTTAGTTTCTGTTTGCCTGCAGGCAAGCCCAGCTTGAGCTTCGAAACTCAAAACTTTTCAAAATTTTCAAAATGTTTCAACTTGCCTCGTTTCATTTCGATGCTGTTTCAAAGTTTTCTGTTTCATTTCGATTTTGCTGTTTCAAGTTCGAAACGAGTTGAAACAGTGTCGAAACGAAACTGCCGGCAAAATTTTGCACAGCCTTAATTTTCAATGCTTTATTGCACACTAACAGAATAATACTCTGCAAAGGCTGGAGAACAGCATTTAGCAAGTTTGTTTCAGGTTTTTTGTTTTGTTTTAATTAATTGCAGTTTGCAATCACCCAGTAAGAACTAGTCATGATAAATCAGTTGAATTCTTCACAGTAAGTACCACACCTCAAAATTCTTGTTTAACCCTCTTGAGGCAAAAATTGGGCTTTACATATCACCAGACAGGGGAAGAAAAGCACTGTAGTATACTAGTCAGTAATTTATAGCGTATTCAGGATCTTATTTTTCTGGAGGGCAATTCATTGCTATTGAATAATGATTTTCTCTAAATTAAACTTCGATGACTGATGCATTGAACTTACAATTTTAGAAGTTAACAACCAAAAAAAAAATCAATTCATACATGCCTACTTTGCTCTTGGATCCCAAAGACTAGAATAAATATAACCATGACCATAATCTTCTAGGAATAAAGTGTTTTGCTCTTTTTCCCTTTTGCTATACTATGTTCGAATCTTGTGCTGCTTTATGAGGTCTCTTAAATTAAGATTAATTTCTTAAAAGTTATACCATAACATTTTGGAGCCATTTGTCATTTTAGCATTTGCAAATAGCAAACAATTAGTAACACTTTGGGGTTTTTTTTAAACTGGCGGGGGAGGATTGTACTCATTCCTTAGTTTTAAAAAAAAGGTCACATTTGACAACAAAATAAAGAAAAGATAAAATACTATTTTTATGATGGTTTAAGTTACATGCCATTCAAGTCAATGGCAGCCTTTCTATTTATGGCTGTGGGGTTTTTATTAAGCCCTTTCAAAAGCTCAACTCCTATTTACAAAATTTACAGCAACAAAATAAGGGGCCAGATTTCCATTAGGTCTCAATAACACTGGATGCACATGAAATATTCAGCTCTTGAAAAGTGGCATAATAGAAGCTGCTGCCTGGCAAAGATATAGGAAAAACTGTACCCGATATGAGTGCTGAGTAACTAAAAATGTAAAGCTTTTAGCTCCTCTGAGAATCTAGTCTTGAAATAAACTAAGTTTGCCTATCTGGACTATAGACATCAAGGAGCACATCTGTGACGGGCCAGCAGCAGAGATGATGCTCAAGGGCAACCGGCATGGGTTCATTAGGGGCAGATCCTGTCAGACCAACCTGATAGCCTTCTACGATCAGGTCACAAAAGCATTGGATGCAGGTGTTGCGGTGGATGTAGTCTTTCTGGACTTCAGCAAGGCCTTTGACACTGTCTCCCACCCCATTCTCATCAAAAAACTAGGTGACTGTGGCATTGATGCCTACACAGTCAGATGGATTGCGAATTGGCTGAAGGGTCATACTCAGAGGGTGGTGGTGGATAGGTCTTTTTCAACTTGGAGGGAAGTGGGCAGTGGAGTCCCCCAGGGCTCAGTCCTTAGGCCCGCACTGTTCAATTTCTTTATTAGTGACTTGGACGACAGGGTGAAAAGCAGCCTGTTTAAATTTGCTGATGATACCAAGATTTGGGGTGAGGTGGGCACGCTAGTAGGGAAGGACAGAGAAGGATCTGGATAGGTTACAGGGGTGGGCAGACAGGAACAGGATGCGTTTCAATACGGACAAGTGCAGGGTGCTGCACTTGGGTAGTAGGAACCAGCAGCACACTTATAAGATGGGGAGCTCCCTACTTGAGAGCACGGAGGTGGAAAGGGATCTTGGTGTCATTATTGACTCCAAGATGAACATGGGCCGACAATGCGAGGTCATGGTTGGCAGGGCTAACCGGACCTTGTCGTGCATCCACAGGTGCATCTCGAGTAGAGCCAGGGAGGTGATCCTCCCCCTCTATGCGACGCTGGTCAGGCCGCAGCTGGAGTACTGTGTCCAGTTCTGTGCGCCTCATTTCAGGAGGGATGTGGACAACATGGAGAGGGTCCAGAGGAGGGCCACCCGCATGATCCAGGGACAGCAGGGCAGACCCTACAAAGAGAGGCTACGGGACCTTAACCTGTTCAGCCTTCGCAAGCGAAGGCTATGGGGGGACCTGGTGGCCGTCTGTAAACTCACCAGGGGGGACCAGCAGGGTTTGGAAGAGACCCTGTTCCCCCTAGCACCCGCTGGGGTAACAAGGACTAATGGCCACAAATTGTTAGAGAGTAGGTTTAAACTAGACATCCGAAGGCACTACTTCACAGTCAGGGTGGCTAGGATATGGAACCAACTTCCAAGGGAGGTGGTGATGGCTCCTACCCTGGGGGTCTTTAAGAGGAGGCTTGATGTCTACCTGTCTGGGGTCATTTCTCTCCTGCCCAGGGAAGGGGGTCAGACTTAATGATCTACAAGGTCCCTTCCAACCCTACTTCATAGTTTCATAGTTTCATAGTTTCAGGGTCGGAAGGGACCTAATAGATCTTCTAGCCCGACCCCCCGCCAGGGCGGGAGAACAACCCAAAAAAAAAAAAAAACCACTCACCCTAAAAACAAAAACGGGACTCAAATGAGTCCAGCCAGGTAAGTATCCAGCCTCTTCTTAAAGATCCCCAGGGTAGGGGCCAGCACCACCTCCCTTGGAAGTTGGTTCCAGCTCCTAGCCGCCCTAACTGTGAAGTAGTTTTTTCGGATGTCCAATCTGTACCTCCTCTCCATCAACTTGTGCCCATTATTCCTTGTTATGCCAGCAGGGGCTAGGGGAAACAGCGTCTCCCCCAAACCCTTCTGGTTCCCCCTAGAGAGTTTATAGACAGTCACCAGGTCCCCCCTCAGCCTTCTCTTGTGGAGGCTGAATAGGTTCAAGTCCCACAGTCTCTCACTGTAGGGTCTGCCCTGTTGTCCCCGGATCATGCGGGTGGCCCTCCTCTGGACCCTCTCCATGTTGTCCACATCCCTCCTGAAATGGGGCGCACAGAACTGGACACAACACTTCTATGAATCTATGAAACTATGAAACACAGGTACACACATACGCAGACACAACTACACCTCTCTGTCTAGAGTTGGGCCTGCCCTGAGGACAAGATTTCTATCTAACAAAGGATTTCAACATTTGCCTTTGCTTTCAATCAGTGTGAACCTAGACAATTTGGGGATTATTTGCTAATGAAAATGGGGGAAAACAAATCATTTAGATACAAATTTTCACAAGGCCAAAATGGAGTGAAACATTTTGTGTTACATACCCCAATATACATTTTTTTTAACTGTAATAAACCTTTTATTCTGACATCAGAATTTCAGAATTGTTTTTTGAGAATATTTGGACAGAAGTTTGGTGAAACAAATACTATTTTGTGACGGGTTTGGATTTTCATACAACTGCCACTTCCAGCTGTAAGTAATGGTAAGGGCACAAATATCTCCCTACCTTTGGAGAAATTGTTATAAAAAGCAGGAGGTTTTGCTTCACTTACCAATAGGCATGACTAGAAAGAAAGGAAGCCAGCACAGTACGAAGCATCCCACCACTATCCCCAGCGTCTTGGCTGCTTTCTTTTCCCTGGAGAACTTAAGGAGACGCACAGAGAAGTGGTGTTTCATCTTGGAACAGGATGGGGTTCCACTCACTTCTGGGGTGTTTCTGCGATGTATTCGGAGAGTCACTTCTTCAGAATGAGACTTTTCAGTCTTCAAGCCAGAAGTCAGGCCTTTGCTTTCCCTTTTGGCCACCACGTATACTCGACAATACATCACCAAGATGATGGTCAGTGGGAGGTAGAAGGAGCCAAGAGCAGAGAACAGCACATAGCCAGGCTCTTCAGTGATTTGACAGATGGTCTCATCTTCTGGAGCTGGTTGCTTCCAGCCAAAGAGAGGTCCAATGGATATCACAACAGACAAAGCCCAAATGCACAACAAAGCCATGAGTCCCCTCTTTTCTGTCATTATACTTGGATATCTCAGTGGGTAACTCACCCCAATGTATCTGTCTATAGAGATGATACACAGACTCATGATGGAAGCAGTGCAACATAAGACATCAACAGCTGCCCAGATGTTGCAAAAGATCCTCCCAAAGACCCAGTAACCCAAAATCTCAAAGGTAGCTGAAAAGGGCAGGACAGTGGAAGTCAAGAGAAGGTCAGCCACAGCCAGGTTAATTATATAGTAATGAGTTACACTCTGAAGGTGTCTATGACAGGCTACTGATAATATAACTAGAATATTACCCAAGACACCAAAAATAATCAGCCCTCCCAAAATAACCCCTAATAATATCGCTTTAGAAATGCTCACTGTGCCCACAGCATGGGTGCAATTTGAACAGTTAGAGGAGTTTCCAGGGAGGAAAACCATTGTTGCTCACAGATAATGTTCATCTGACTGCTATGTGCCTTACTCTCCTTTCAGGTGCTAGAAGTGCCAAGATCAGTTTTTTCTGAAGATTTTGCAGGCAGCATTTGCCAACTCTTTTAGGAAACCCATTTATAATAAGGTTGTAGAAACAGACACACTGAAATGGAACACAAAAACATATTAGAAAACTTGCATTTTTCTCTAAGCTTCTACTGTTCTCTGCGTTTCTGGGCAGCTAGTTAGCAACAGAGCAACCGTTCTGAAGACTTTCTAAGACTGGCTTTCTTTGCATTCTTCTTGGGATGCAAAAATCTCCACTGTGCAGGGTATAGTGGGGGCATAGATGATGGCATTTCTCCTATTTTGGGGATAATTCTAAGAGAAGTAATTGAGTTGTAATGCTAATTCATTC